GAATAATTGCATTGTTTCCAGCTAGCAACTGGCTGGTGGCTTCTGCAATGTACTTTAAAACGTCTCTGGTCATAATGAAGTGGCCTAAGCGGACATAAACTCTGCTGTAAGCTGGCTTTTAAAGTTGTTCATTTGAAAGTGCCAAAGGAAATGAATGGAAAAGGAAGGTAATGCATTTTCCAAACAAAAGCTCTGTCTTTCGTAACGGAGTGCAACGGTGGAGGAGAGTGGTTAAGCGCAGATTAAGTCGTAAATTGAAGCATTTCGGGGGACGACGTACAAAAGGTGCCATTGTCATCATGCATATATATATATCTTATACTATATATGTATTGCTGGTCCACGGGCCACCCTTGTGGTTCAGCCTTGGCCATAATTAAGAGGATATGGCAAACGCGAAGGCGTCGTCGCTTCTTTGTGGATATATACGAGATGGATGATGGATGAAAGGACTCTTTCTTTCTGAGACAGGTTTTTAAATTAAATCTCAGCATTATGAAGGATAATTGGCCGCTTGGCAGCTCGTTTCAGGCCTTGTTCTCGGGATGGATATTGTGCAAAAAATAATTAACGACTCGCATTCCGGAGAAGCCATAGCCAAAGCCATTGCCATCACATCTCCATCAGCATTATGAAGCATCTGCATTCTGCAGAAACAATCAATGGGAAAGGCTCACAAGGCAGAGCCCATTTATGGCTCTGCATGGGGTATTGTTGTATGAAGCCCCTCAATGGATCTGTCATTGCGGGCCAATCGGCGGCTCTCCCACAGAAGGGAATGGGAATTTTAATTTGCGGCTCAAAGAGATTAAAAGCCCATTACTATCCGGGGCTGAACTGAAGCTGGAGCTGAAACTGAAACGGAATGGAAACAGAGACTGAGACAGACTGGCAAACTTTTCCCAGTAATTGCAAATGAAAGCCCAATTTTTGCCGGCGGTTTCTGGTTTACTTTGCTTCGAAAAAACTTTCTGGTAAGCAGTGACCCTCTCCTCTCCATTCTCCATCCACTGTTTTATTGGACTTTAATCTTTTGCGTACTGATTCGGCAACTTATTACTTAAGTTCCCGCTAAATATTTCAATAAACTTTGCCTCAAAAAGTTCGCCGAGAACTGGCGGGACCGGGTCGCCCCTGGTGCGAGCTTCTCCTGAAAATCGATGATGCCAACTGTTGGGCGATAATCTAATCTGCCACAATGTTCCCAAGTCGAACGAATCAAAAGAAGAAAAAACAACAAAAATTGCAATAAAAATCCATTTCCATATTCAATTTGCTTAAGTGGAGAGCGGCCCTGCTCAACCGCTATACTTTCCCCATCCACTACTCCGCACGGAAAACGGCTGAAAAATGAAAATGAGTCGGACGTATAAATAATGCCAAGAAGACCAAGGGGCCCAGAGAGGCCCACCCGAGGAGTGGGAGTAGGAAGTAAAACTATTGCCAGTTCGTCAACGTCAGCAATTTAGTCAATGCCATGACCGTAGTTGTAGTCATAGTCGTAGCTATAGCGGGACAGAGAGAATCCTGTAATTCACTCGACTTCCAGCATAGTCGTGTCTGTGTATCTCTGACGTGTATCTGTGTGGATCATTTATGCGCTTAACACACTTTCAGGGGAACTCAACCCGAACTGACCTCGATGCCGACCCCGACCCCCCGTCAGAAGCTTCAGTTCTAGTCCCTTTTGGCTTGACCAAAATGGCATTGTGTGACACATTTCCATTTTGGGGAATTTCTTCATTTCTGCTTTGTTGCGCTTCTTTTATTTACTGCAAAACAACGAACAACGGACAACGGAGAGGGGGAACAACGCAACGGCCGATGGAGGATGGAGAGGAAAATAGTAGTGAAAATTGTGAATAATGCTATTGGGAGAGCGGGCTGGGCAGAAGAATTGAAAAGTGAATGGACAAGGTGGAAGTGAGAAATACCAGCTCACGTTAAATTGAATTTAACGTGAAATGCAGCGAAACGAAATGAAATTTTCCCTGTCGCAGTGTCTAACAAGAATGAAAATAAAACGAAAACAAGACAATGCTGAACGAGAAATGAAATGAAAAAATAATGAAAGAAAGGAGAGCGAGCGAAAAGCGTGTTAAGCGAAGATGGCATAAGATGTAGGGAATGCTTGGACTTTAGATATTATCAATCATAATACAAAAAAACTATACTACTCGTACAATATATACTACATAAGCTCGTAGAAGGCAAACACTTCAATCGACGAAGCACGATGAAACGAAACGAATCGAGTCGAATCGAATCGAAACGTGGGGATTCGAGTGGAAATTTCAAGCACAGGGAACGCGTGGAGCCAAGCGAACGCGAATCGAGTATTTATTGCCTTTATTAGCGAGTCGATTGAAAAATTTACTGCGCTCAAATTCTATCTGGAACGCTTCGCTTCACTCAGAGCGATGGGGTCCTAGGAGATGAGACTGGGGCATCGGTATTGTGTGCTACTAACAGCAATTCATCTTTGCGCGCAAACTTTCCCATTTTCAGCGGTGTGCAGGCGCTTCACTTACACACCTGCTGAAGCGGCAGCTACAGCTCCAGCTCCTGCTCCATTCTGATGGGGCAAGCATTTTTGAAATCTTGTTAGCAGTTGGCTGCAGCTTCTTTTCCACTTCCATTTGGCTGAGATGTTTTTCCCTGTTAAGCCCTTTTATTGTTTCGTTTTCTGCCTTTCTCCTTGCAATTTGTCTTTAATTTTTGGTACAGCAGCGAAAAATTTTATTTTTTTTCATCATCGTTCAGTTGTAGGTGGTGGAACGGCACAAAAACAAAATGTTAAAAATGTTTTTTTTGTTTAAAGAAAACATTTCAGTTTTCAACTTTAGATGAATATTTTTAGTTGTTGACCACTTTATTGACAGTGTTATGGCAGGGAATCCAAATATTGAAACTGTTTGGTAAAAGCAATGAAAATAAATATCTAAGCTTAAAGGGCAGAGTTTAGAGTTTTGCTCTCAAGTTAAATTAATGTACAAATGTAACCTTAAAGTTCAATGGGATGCTCCTATTTCATCGCTCTTGCATCCTCTTCTCTTTAAAGCATTCGAGTTTAGCTTAAGCTTCGGGAACATTTTTCCACGCGTTCAGGAGAGCTTAGCCACTGCCAGCCAGCCGAATGCACCCTCTAAGGACCGACCCTAACATGCTCGCCTGTCTGTCGGCTGCTTCCCCCATTGCCAATAAAGGACACTCCTATTGCCATGCCGATCTGCATCTGTCAGCGTATTTCCTGCCTGTATGCCTGTGTGTGTGTGTGCGTGTGTGTTTGTCTTTGGCAGTTTACCTAATTACATTCCGGAAATAAAACGTTGACTGATTGTGCCAATAAATGAAAATAATGACGCACCATTGACTGCAAACTGGGACTGGCGAACGGGAGGTCGAACTCAGGGCAAACTTTTCCGCCAGAGTTTACTTCGAGAAGAGACCTTGTCGAAAAACCAGAAAGAAAAGTTGCCCCGTCTGTCTGTCTGGGCTTCTTCCTCTGCAGCGGCTGCTCTGCTGCTTCTTTATCTTCATCATGCCATTCACTTTCCCTTTTTTTTTTGGACGTTCTTCTGTTGGTTCTTGACGAGTTTATTTGCTCGAGCAGCGCTAACTGATTGTCTGTGATTTTCTTGTTTTTAGATAATGAAAGCCGGAGCAATCTGCGGCTGCTGCTGCTGCTACTGCTGCTGCTGCTGCGGGTACATAAAAGTAAAGGCCTCGCAAGTGTAACTTTTTATATGCTACCCAGCAACAGAAATTGCTGGCAATTTATTCAGATATCCAGAAGGAATGAGACAAATTGTGGAAAAATAAGGAAAAGCCTAGGGGAATGTTTGATGGCCAGGTTTTTATTGCCTGATATATGGATACGCTAGTTTTAGAGTCCCAAACGAAACTTAAACCCTCAAAAGCTTTTAAGGGAAGTCCTATCCCAACAATTGCTGGTAAGGTCAAGCAGAATTGGTTTGAAATATTCCTCGAAAGGGGGAGACCAGAGTTCTCGAATATTTGGCAAGCCCAAAAGTATGCTAAGTATTGTCCGAACGCCCCAACCTGCTGCAGCCTGGCTGTGCGGTAGAGCGAGTGCTGCATATGAAAGGGAAAGTTCCCAGCTGAGAGGGCACGAAGCGTAGCCCCCAACTAATTTCAGCACAATAACCCAAATTGAAGCGGTTTTCTGGCGTTTGTTTGCAGTCGCCAGGGACGTTGCTCGGCACTAAACGAAAACCCCAGCGTTCGGCTGCGTGCTGCAAACATTGAGAGAATCGGGAGAGCAGAGCAGAATGAGAGAGCCACGTTTCGCGCACAAGCAGAAGGTGCGTTGAAGGAGCACGAGAGAAAGACAGAGCCGGAAGAAGTTGACGCTTTGAAAAATGTTTGCTATAAATTCTGTAACAGCTGTTGACGGCGGACCAACTGCATGCAGCAGTTCAAATTTAAGTTTACATACCCTATCAGATGTTCAGATTCATAATGCAGTCTGGTATTTGCAATGTCACAGGCTAACTTTAAAGCCGATTTCGGTAATCAATCAATCAATTTGGGGGTATACGTATATGTACATTGTACATATGTATATTAACAGAAAATAGTTAAATTTTAGTTGTTGTCTAATTGCGTCTAAGAAAAGCTGCCAAAATTAAATACTAATAAATACTAAATGTAATATACAAACGTTAAACGGACAGGTGGGCCGACAGACTAGAAAATGTATACTTTTGGGGTCCTTCTGGCTTTTACATAGAACATAAACTTTATAAGTTTGAGGGTATTCAAACAAGGAAACCCTTTGCTCTCCATGGACCAATCTCCCGGAAGGGAGATGCCATAAAATGCTATAAAGAGCGCATAGAAAGACACTGAGAGAGCGAAATAGAGTGTTTCACGAAGCCCCTGAAGACTGCGCTGCTGCCTGCCACTGCCTGACGCTGGCTGCCGCCTGTTCAGCGGCATGTCCTCCATCGTTGCTTCAGTTGCGTGCGAAAGCTTAAAGTAAACAGACAAGCAGCAGAGCAGCAGAAGCACTCTCAAACACTGGGTGCAAAAAGTATATGAGCTGTGCAAGTGCCGACGCTGACAGCAGCAACAAAGACACGAAAGAGCGACAAGGAGAAGGCATCGCTAAGGAGCTGCTGCCCACGCTGACGTCGGCTTGCGTCTGGCTCTGACGGAGCTCTGCTCTGGTCCTATCCTCCTTTCGGCACCGAGTCCCTCAGTTAATTTCTGACCACAGCGGGAACGAGTTCGGTTCGCTTCACTTCGGTCAGATCTGATCTGAGTTACTCTTCCCCGATCTGTAACGGATTCCGATTCGGTGATGTGCCGTGACGCGACGTGCCAATGCACCATATACGGAATGTGAGATCTGTTTCCACTTCCGGAATGAACTATGAATTCCACGAATGCTTAGCAAGGGGATTCCAGTGTTTGGACGGAGGCCTGGTGCCACACAGGTGACTGTGGAAAGTGTGTGAGAAAGACACCCAATCAGCGACAAAAACTAATAAAATAAACAACATAAAAGAAATTAAAGAAAGATCATAAAATCGGTTGATTAAAAACCAAAAACACATGGATTAAACAAATATTTAGAAGTGAAAAGTTAATTGCGAATGAGCTTCGTTGAGCTATGAAGTTAATTGCATTCGAGATTCATTGAAAAAGTGCATAAATTAACACAGAAACTGCATTTAATTAAGCTGAAAACCAACAAAAGAAAACGCATGGGAAAGTGCAGTCGGTAAACAGTTAGACAACAACAAAAAACAGTAAAACATTTATTTTAATACAAAGAATGGGAAATGCAACAATTGAAATGAAAAGTGCAGTGGACAAAGGCAACGATACCAAAGCGTTGATAAATTGATTTACAAAACAATTGCCGCAGCAGCTATAACAGCAACAAAATCAAACAAAATTTATAGTGCAACAAACGGATTTCACATCAACAGTTGCTGCCACATAAGCAGCCACAACAGCAGCAGCAACAAGGGCGGCAAAAATGCCAGCATCAAGTGGATTATATCGCAACAAGAGTGGATGTGTCCTTGACAGGATGCAAAAACCTGCGGCACTTATTTTTATTGCATGCATTGCGGCATTTGGCATTTGCGGTAAATATGACACAAACACCACCTCACCACACTAACACAAAAACACACTCTGAAACACTGTGTGAAAAGTGTACGCATACGCCCACGTGGACATCCGCAAAAAACAAATTCATTTTATATTCATGCGACAATTAAGATAATATAAAATGTTCATTGCGGTTGCTCATTGGGCGGTCAACGGAGCCGAACCTCGAACCCGATTCCGAACGGATAATTAAGTTATGGCTCAATTTAATGCAATCAAATAATAATGTCAAAAGCGATCCGCATTTTCAAAATATTATATGGCAAAGAGCGGGGCTGAAGTTCTAGATGTATGATAGCTTGCATGATAGCTAGTTAATAAACGTTGACAATATAATTCAAGTTTGGAGTCTTCATGTCATCATTGAAGTACAGAGTCTACAGTTTTAATGGAATGTCCCAAAAAAATATAACTGTATTGCCCCAATCATAATATCCTGTTCAATCGGTACTATAGAAGATAAATCGTTAATTTGTTACATTTCATTGGCATTGTCGAGCACATTGACAGGTCAGGGATTTGGCGGGGGCAAATGGGGCGCGGCGCGGAAATCGTGCATCACCTGTCAATGCCTGACACAGCAACAACTACGAAAACAGCAACAATATCCGTGAGAGCAACGAGAACACTTGTCTACAACTCTCACTGAAAGCGGGTTCCCTTGCTTCCCCTGTCGGTTGTCCCCGTCGCCTGTCCATGTTTCTGCCCCTTTCCTCACCATCTGCGCCTTCTGGCAATTTGTCAAGCAATCAACAAAGCCAGAAATTGCCGCGCCAATGGAAAAATACAGTAAGAAAGAGAAAGCAAGTAGTGGAATGGAGAATGCAAGAGGGGAAAAGACCAAATGTTTTGTTGCCAAATCATTGAAACAAATACAAAAACTGCAGGAAATTCATTTGTGTAGGTCGAACACTAGATACCCTTTCAATTCGATTAGAATACAAATTTTCTGCTTTTACGTATATTGTGAAAATGTATGCTATGGACTACACCATAAATATCTTCTAGACTGAGAAAGAAGTTCCCATACCAGAAGAATAAGTCTGCTCTTCTGTACATATAATACATATATGCACAAACATATGTAGGTGTAGGTAAATATGAACATCATTACAATGAGGTCAAATATACCCTCTGCCAAGGGATAAGAAAAACCATCGCATAAGCGCCATATAGGGAGGAACGCGAGCGGCAGAGTGGCAGGCCACCAATATGTGGAAACTAGAACACTGGTTGTGCCACATTTTGTGCGTGCCCCCGACAGTGAATGGGTCGGGAGGGGATGGAAGGGGAGGTGTCTGTAAAATCGTCACACAAAAAAACATCTCCCTCTCTTTCCCTTGCTCTGAACACACACACACACACATATTTACTCATACACTCCAGGCCGCCTCAGGGGCAGCGCTGAGCACACTTCTGGCAGATCCAGCAGCAGCAACAGCAGCAGCAGCAGATCTGGCGCATCCATTGTTGCATGCCACGTTTTGCCGCCACTGGGCTGCCTTTTGGGGCACACTCCAGCTGTCGCTGTCACTGTCAATGCTGTAATGAAAAATGCACAAAAAGGAAAAACAGAAACCAAAACAGAAACAGAAACGGAACCCAGTGATGGAAAATGAAAATAGATATAAAAGTATAGAATGGTGAGAGCTTAGTGCACAAATGAAAAAAAAAGGAAACAATTTCTGCTGTTCATGCCGCTTTTTATTTAGAGCGCATTAATATTTAGCCAGCGCCTTCTATAGGTATTACTATCACGTCTGTGGTCGTGTTTATGCCTGTGGCTGTGGATATACGAATATTTACATACATACACATGTATGTAAATATATGTATCTTTATATAAATCAATAGTTTTTATGCCCCGCGTGCATGTCTGGGGCCTGGGTTCGGGGATTTGAAGGCCAGCAGTGCACCACTTGGGCCCCAAAAATATTTTCCCACTGGCATCCCAAAATAAATCTGCTGCTCAATGGATCCAAATATTTATGCAATTATTTGGAAACCTCTCTACCCAGCAGGTAGTACACAAAGCATGAAATTGATGGGTTGACAATATTTCCCCGAACCTCACCTCTCCGAACGATACGTTCGTATTCCAAAAAAATAAATAAAATCGCATTATGATAGATAAATGAAAGTACGGAAATGATTCTTTTATTTATAATATATTTCATTTTTTTATTTTTCATGATGCTTATTTTAAATTCTTTCGTGGATGTCTAGAGAGCTCTCTATACATAGGCACTCCTTTAGATTTGCACCAATTGTCACAGATTTGCTAGTTTTGAAACCCTTGAAGCAGCAATAATTTCTAATTCTGCGATATAAAAATGCGCCAAGCATATAGACCGTCAGACAGATCGAATCCAATGTTGCCAAATGCGGCTTCCCATTTAATCTGAACTGCCCCCAGTCACTCCTCATGCAGAGCTGCTGACACAGCATTGTGGAAGCCACATTCCGTCCTGTGCATTTCCGTAGAGCATCCCCCAGTTAGTGGAGTTAGTAGAGCATGACGATTCCAAGGCAGCAGGGCTCCCGTCTGCCATTCAGGAGTTGCATGTGACGCTGTGTGGGCGTGTGTGTGGATGTGGGGTGTTGCCCTGTTCGAAATTGTCAAATTGCTGTGAAAGTCGGGCACAAAGTTAAGTCCATTGAAGCTGCCAAAGGGGATAGGTGGCGGGCCACTTGTGGCAACTCGGTTTAATTGGGCTAACTATCGTGTGTATGTATAGACTGCCGCTGCGGAGGCTTTTCCGGGAGGCTGAGGTTTTCGTTAATTGCCACCGCACCGAAATAAGACCTTTTCCGTGTCCCATGGCGATGGAGTGCCACAGATGGGATGGTGGGCTTGTTAGATGCATTGGGTTGCATGATATACCAGAGGGATTCAATAAAACGTGTAGACACGTAGACAGTATATTGAGGGTGGGTATCTTAAATGAATGAGAAACTGATCTATTGACGATTAATTCGACGAAGAGCATCTTATCTATCTATACATGGATCTATAGTCCCTCAGCTTACCATCAATTAATGCTCTCATTTAATACTCCTTGTTATTCTTTACATTTTTGGCTCTTTTTTATTTTTTAATCTTCTATTTTTAATCAATTATGGCCCCTTACATTTCATCAGTTCGTAAATTAATCTATCAAATGCTTAATATTTCATATTTCCATTATTTCAATAAACCATCAATTGTCCCTTAAAGTTTTCTTCTTTATACATCTAGGAATACGAGTTTATGTACATATCTCTAAGAATTGGGTGGGCAATCGATTGACAGTGGCGGCAATGACAAAGTGAATGCAGTTTCACACGGGGATAAGGGATCCATGCGTTAATGACGCAAAATGATTGACGAGCACGGCAAAGGCGAGTTTGTGCAGTGAGTCATTTCGGTGCAAGCAATGTGCCGGGGCTAGCAAAAAGGATCATTTACCCATACGTCTTCATTCCCGGCATACAATTTTTGAATAAACTGAAGGCACAGGCATGGGCAACCGACCCGGGTCAAGGCCTACATATATGTTATGGCAGGGCCAGTTCTGGGGCAGGGGAAGTGGCAGACTGAAAGCGCGTTGGCAAGCATAATTTAATTCGGAACATGCAGGAGCATACACACACATATACACACGCTTGGGTGGTGGTAAATGCAACGGTAACATAGCCATAAAGCTCACCTGTTACAAATGCAGTATGCCTCGGGGCATGGATTTGGGGCCCGTTAGGGCTGGCGCTGCCTCTGGCATGGTCCTGGCTTTGCTCCTGACCTGGGCTCGTGTGCTGCGGCAGCCATAATAATCAGCACAAAAACTAATGGTCCCACACACACACACGCATGCAGGGACTCACAGCAATACACACACTCGCAGCCAAAGAGAGAGAGGCACACACACATGGCTGCACTTTAAGCGCTGAAAGCACGTAAATTTTACATAATTCAAAGGAGGCGCCGCCTTTTGGCAATGGCAGATGTGAAGACACAGACGTTTTGTGTATGAGTGTGTGTGTGTGTTCGTTCCATATGTGGAAGGAATGCGGATGGATGGGATGGGCAAGCTAGAACACTTAGATACATTTTGGTTGAACAACTACAAGCCTCATACGTGAAAGTTCCAGCCCCGTCAGCCAACTCCCTGTCTGCAAGCTTACAATTTGCAACATTTCACCTCTTTTTTTTGTTCTTTCTTTTGCTCTTTCTTTTCATGGGGCTGGAATAAATTTCTTGCCCAAATCCTGGCCAGTCACTGCGAGTCAACTTATAATACCTGGCCAGAGCCTCACTCGCAGACATTGAGGGTTCCAGCCTAAGTCGATGCAAATGGTTTTCTGGTTTAACTTTTGCTATTTTTCCCTACACTTTCGCTGCGCTGCGGAAAGTTTCCATCGAGTCGCGCACAGCAGAAAGCTGCCCATCATCGCGTATCGACAGAGGCTGATTATGATCTACCCACATTCCATTCCACGGCTGGGTCAGGCACTCCAAATTTCGACTAACAAGCGGTTTTTCTGGCTTTTTGGGGCAACATTGACAAGTGGCCAGGCAGCGACTGCGGCAGCGACCCTTCTGTTTTTTGTAATTACAACTTGGACTGGCGGCTGCACTCGAAACTTACGGAAACTTGGCCCAAAGAGCCAAGGGGCAGCGGTAGGGAAATGTTGTTTCAACAATTAATTTGCCACAAGTGCGGCCCGAATTTCTTTGTGTTTTATGTCGCATTAAGGCGGGACAAACGCACCCCGCCGACACAATTTCATTAGGGAACCTGGTTGCCAGGTTGGCTTTCCTTTCGTATATCTGTTACGTTCTGTCACTTTCTGTTGGGGTCTGGCGGTTGTGCCTCTGCCTTCACCTCCACCTCCAAATTGTGAATAAAAAGCGAATTTGCCTAACAACTTGCGCACACTGTCAGAAATTGAAACTTTTCAAAAGCAATTCCTTGAATTTCAAGTGAAAACTTTGTTC